TTGATGGCCCCCAATGTCCTTCAGTGTGGATCCTTTCTCTGGGTCCATCAGGAATCCCAACCGTGTAAGACACGGTCTTTACCCATCATAAAAGAGCCATCAATTGCTAAAAGTTTCTTAGGTTTGTTTGGGATGTACTCTCTATTTTCCCATGTCTATGTTGGAATTCTGTTTATTTGAGCATGCATGGGACTTGTGTGTGCTGCCATCATTGCTGTGAGATCTTAAGAGTAAATGACCAGCTCTTTCAAACGTCTGGCTCACAAGGCCCAAGGATCATTGCAGAAGAGGAGGTGAAAGTATTGTAAGAGCCAGAGGAAGTGGATGATCACACGGAACAGAGTCTTCCAGGCAGCTGTTCATTTACTCATAACCCATTTTAAGTGATAATTAATTGATAATTCTTTACCTAGTTTTTAAACTTAAATATATGTAATCTCTATAAATAAAACATTCCTGAATTTATTAGTAGAGTTAGTTGAAGATCATTTGGATTTTACAAAAGTAGAAATTGCATTTGTCTTTTAGGAAATAGGCATAGCCAACATTATACTTTATTTTCAGTTTCCTAATATGGTGGGAAATAGGAATAGCTTTAAAAAAGAGTCAAATTTAAATATTAGTGACCATTCAACTATAATACACTGACAAATAGTTATTACAGTATCTTATAAATTTTATTAGCCATTTTCTTTGGGAAATAATTTTCAAATATTTCCTACCATTATTTTCTAACATAGTTTTCCAAGGGCTGGAGAGATGGCTCAGTGGTTAAGAGCACTGACGGCTCTTTTAGAGGACCTCGGTTCTATTTTCAACACCCAAATGGCAGCTAACAACCGTCTGCAACTCCAGTTCCACAGGATCCAATTCCCTCTTCTGAACTCTGTGGGCATTGCATGACAAGGGTGCATTTACACAAATGAAGGCAATAGACTCATACACCAATAAATAAATAAATAAATAAATAAATAAATAAATAAATAAAATAGCAAAGCATAGTTTTCAATTTTAATGAACATATAATTTACTTTTTAAATTTGAGACACTCATTTATAATGGAAGGTATTGTTAGCCTGGTAGCATACCTTGACTAACATATATCCCTATGAGTATCTCTGATCTTTCAGTTTTAATAAGATTCTTGTTTTCAATATATGATTTTGTCTAATATTCTTAGTAACAGGCAAGGCATTTCTTAATCATAATTAGTTTAGTAAATGGGTAGAGTGTGATGATGTTATTTCCATTAGCAAAGATATGACATTGTGTTCCTGAATCTCTTTGTCATGATAGTATACTTCAGAGAAATTTAAATTCTTTTCATGATCAAATCAGGCTGTATTTAGAGGGATATAAATGATTTTTGGACATTTTTAAAATTTTAAGTTTCAAATATATCATTCAAAAGCGTTAAACATTATATTTAATGATTCTAACAGAATTGTTGTGATAGAGGATAAAATGTACCACTATACCAGAGGCATCTATTTCATAAAAAGGACTATTCAAGAATATATATACACATATATCATAGTAATTATACACATTTTTACAGAAACCTGTATATGACAGTTTTACACAGAAAGAATAATTTTACTCAGATTTACTACAACGATAAGCCTACCAGGAACACATTAACTGGTATTCTTTTCCAGAATTTCTTCTCTAGGGAAGCAGGCAAGAGGATAGGCTTGCTGCATGTGGTGGGGGTGGGGGTATTGTAGGGAAAGGACGGGAGGAGGGTATGACTGCACAGATATAGCAATACCTCTAAAGTATAAAGACTTAAGAACAATAATAATGATTCAATAATGAGCTCGAAAAATATGTATGAAGGATCCAATAGATGTAGTGATACCTGGACTGTACCTAGGGTTCACATAACAGCTGATACAAAGGGTATAAACTCAAGAGCAGGAGTTGGCATTACACTTTAAACACTGATATGATGACTTGAAGCTCCCTGACCAGGAAAATTATTGACACAATAAGTTGCTTTGAAGGTCTGCACGGGAAACTATCAAAGAACTGATTAATAGTAGTGCATATTAAAGAAATAGCATAATGTATGTAATGATAGCAAAGGAAAAGACCTTCTTTGAAGTGAAACAAGAAATATAAAGTGAGTTGTGAAGATATTTCTTAATTGGTTTTGTATTTAAAGTATTATATAAATTGCTATCATGTAATTTAATTATATACTTGATTTTATTTCTAAATTTGATTTTTGTGATGAAAAATATCAAATGCCATTTTACAGGATATGATGATAATTACCTGCTAATATTTAACTGGATATTAAGATAACTTGAATTTAA